GAGCTCTTAAATTAATTATATCCTTGTATATGCATACATCTATATTAAATACATTACATATGTGTGTGTATGCAAATAAACATGTATAAATAAATGAGTAGATATACACGTATGTCAGAAATATAGTTTGGAATAACCTTCTGCTCATAAAAGAGCAAGAGACGTATCCTGTGCAGCAAAGAGGAAATTGGAGAGTTGTGCCTGGAAAATGAGTGTTGTGTTTCTCTGAGGTGCTAGTTTTGATGTTTATACATCCACCCTGGCTTGCTCACGCTTGGCATTTTTCCTAAGGGCTGCTCAGAAATGAATCTCGCCCATGCTGACATTTTTTGCCATTCTGTTCTGCTTATTGACTGTGTCAGTGGGGATTTTGACACCTTACCACTTACAGAATCTTTTCACGAGCTCCAATAAGCAGCAAAGCAATCATAGTGACATTTAATTGCTCTGTGAACTGGAGATGAGTTGATGTCCTTAAGGTGCTTTCCCGTTCTTGGTAGTCATTCTTTCTTGGAAACAGTTGTATGAGTTAGCTTTGGATGAACTGTTTTTCTAGTTACTAAATCTATTACTATCCCCTGCTTTTGTGTTCAGGTTTGTTCTTAAACTAAATGTTTGGAGCTTTTTTCCAATGTTATTTAGCTGTCACGTAACTTTCCACGCATTTCACTCATAGTGCTTCCACTATCACTACATGGCTTGTGAGTTGGATCAGCCTTTGCTTTGTCTGGGAGTGGAAAGTGATAGTACAGAGAAAATAATCAAACTTTGCACTTTGAGTCAGTGGTAGAAAGAAAAGAAACCGAATCAGGATAAACCAGATACGCTTATTGAGCTTGCTTCTCAGATCAGCTCTAAACCTGTGCAACTCCCCTCCTTCCTGTCCTCACAGCCATCAGTACACCAGTGGATATTATCGTGTCTCTGCCTACTTCCTGGCCTTGATGTTAGGAGATCTACTGCCCATGAGAACTGCTCCAGCCATCATATTCTCGTGCATCACTTACTGGATGATTGGTAATGAACTGATGCTTTTGTTGAACCTGCCATCTGTCAATACATTTGATATCTGACTTAGCCAGAGTATAATTCCTCTATCTATAAATTGAAACAGACTAAACCTTCAACTGATTTAGATGCTTGGCATCATAACTTCTGAGGAGTTGGGGGCAGAGGTACCAGCAGTCTTAAGACAGGACCTGCTTGTCCATGTCTTTTGGTAATGCTCTTTGGGACCCTTAGAGCATTCACAGCTGCTGCCAACTCCAAACTAAACTTTTCTTCTTGCTTTCTGTGTCTTTTGTGGGAGTCCAGGGGTACCTCTTTGGGACTTGTGATATGGCTTTTTATTGGACATTTTTCTTTCTGCTTGACAGGATTTCAAGCTGTAGCAGGCAGATTCTTCTTCTTCATGCTGGCCCTGGTAATGGTGTCCTATACTGCTACAGCCATGTCTCTGGCTATCAGTGCTGGGATGGAAGTGGTTGCTGTTGCCAATCTGCTCATCACTATTTGTTTTGTCCTGATGCTTGTAAGTACAGCTTGTAAAGGTGTGTGCTGCTCTGGAGGAAACAGCCTTCAGAGTACAGATGGCTTTAGGATCCATACTGAGAGGACTGTCTCCTGTACTGAGCCAGCCCTAAGCATGCAGAGAATCCACAGTTCAGTAGCTCATCAGCCTTGTGCCTGCAATGTTATTGTTGCTATAGTCAAAGACTTGCCTCTACTTGTAATCATAGGCATAATACTGTGAAGAGATGAAGAGATTCATCTATCACAGTGTCCCTATATATCTGCTATAATATCGATGCAGGAATGACATTGTTTGCAGTAAACTGAGTTGTGACTTATTAGTCTCTTGTTTTCTTTCAGATCTTCTCTGGCCTCCTTGTAAACCTCCCTTCTGTAATGGGCTGGCTTAATTGGCTCAAGTACTTCAGCATCCCTCGATATGGCCTTACTGTGAGTACAATGTAGCACTGGTCTCCTGTAGGGAAAGTAATTGCAGTGCTGTGTCTTAGAGAAGTTTGGGCATCACTGAGGTGTTCTATCTGTTGCTGAATGTGGAAGTGCTCCTTAAGATTGCAGTTAGCCCAGGGTACCAGTGCAAAGGAGCTGTTTGCTTCTTGCTTTGACTGACTGTCCCTCCTGCTTCAGTGTGCTGGTGCTGGGTTGTCTGCATGCAGACACAACTTCTGAAAGTGCAGATGGACTCAGATAAATGGGGACATATAGCTGGAAAGACAGAAATCCATGGCTACATCACTGAATTATAACTCTGAAGCCACAGATTCAGACACCAAACCATCCTGCATGTTGAACTTGGAGCAGATCCTCAGAAAGGTAGTAGTTAAGAACTTCAAAATAAGGGCTGGGAACTAATTTTTTTGAGTCACTCCGTTCAAGCCTAAAAGGTATTATCAGTCTTGGAATCATATATACATGTCTTCCATTCATCAGTTTTCTTTAAGTTGTTTCAGCTTTAGCACACTAAATCACTATCTGAAAAATCTGACACCTTTTTCCCCTAGGCTCTTCAAGTGAATGAGTTTAGAGATCTCTACTTTTGTGGTGACAATTCAAATGTTACAGTGTCTGTGGGAAATGCAAGCACTTGTCCATCAGTCACTTCAGGAGCAAGGTAAGTCTACCTCATGAAGATTCTTGGGCCTGAATTGTAATGGCTTGCTTAAGGATTAGCCAGCCTATTTCAAAACATTATATTACTCACAGGCTAACTATTCACAAGTCAGTCTCTTCAAGAATTTGTAAAAAAAAAAAAAAAAAAAAAAAAAAAAAGTGTGCTTTAGAATTATGCAGCCATTTACTCCAAATTGAAGTAGGGATGAAACTTTTCCTAAAAATAGGGAGATTAGCTAAATTTTGTTTTTGATAACTTGGCTCTGGGTTATCAGTTTTATTAAGCAAATCCCAGAGTCAGTTATCAGTGGAAATACAATGTGTATACAATCAGAGTAGAAGTATGAAACAGTAGATTAGAAACATGCCTGTCCTTCAGAGCTTGTTAATATTTACAGACCTAGCAGCAGGTACAGCAGAGAACCAATTCCCTTATTGGAAATGTTCTTTTTCCCCCCATGATAAGTTAAGTTAGTCTGTTTCTGTTATGTCTGTTTTGCAGTTATGGATGGAGGAATCTTAGTGCAACAGGAAAATAAAAGGAACTGCTTGAAGACCTATAGTATCTTGCACAACATAGTAATACCAAATTCTGCCCCTTGCTTTTTTGCAGGTGCTCTGGTGAAGATTACCTGATCAGCCAAGGAATCGCACCTACTAACATGGCAATGTGGGAAAACATAATAGCTCTTTTATGCATGACTGCTATTTTCCTTCTCATTGCCTATCTCAAACTCCGGTTTATGAGAAAATTCACATAAATTCCTGCATTGCCTTTCTTCACAGCTTCTCAGGTCTTAAAACTACAAAGCTTATTAGAGCCTACTGGATGTGGCCAAAGATTTCAACTGACTTTACTGGACTTAAGATGGGAATCTTGCCCCATTGTTTCTGGAGAATGATCTCCATATGATTATATGATTTTGTTTGTTAAGAAGAAATGTATTACTGTAAGATTCCATGGTTTTGGGTGTTTTTTTTTTTTTTTCTGGTAAGAGAATATATTTCTCATAATTCCTTAGGTACTTACCAAATTTTATATTGTAGAGCTGCTGTGGCTAACTTGTAAAGGAAATAGGCACAAGGAAATATTTTCCTTTGAAGACATTTATGCTTTTATATGTTGCCCCTTCTAAGTGCCCATCATACCTGAGGAGAGCCAGAGACTCATTCGTAGTGTGTTGGAGATGCATTCAGGTTTGAAGTCTGTAAGGAGAATGAGCTCTCAGTGCCAGGCAATAGTGGTTATGCTTTTTGTAGTTACTCCATGGAAAGTGTGTCAGTGGAGTAGGAGGAAGAAACGTTTTACTCAGAGGGCTGTGAGGCACTGCACAGGCTGCCCAGGGAAGCTGTGGTTGCCCCATCCCTGGAGGCATTCAGGGCCAGGTTGGTTGGGGTCCTGGGCAGCCTGAGCTGCTGGGTGGCAGGGGCTGAAACATTGATGAGATCTAAAGAGCAGTGGTATAAGCCATAGCACCGAAGAGAAATATGATACTGTTGTAATGTAAAAAACAAACAAACAAACAAAAACAAAAACAAAAAACAACAGCAAAAAAAAAAAAAAAACAACCAAACTTTTTACTACTTAGGAAGCTGTTTAGTTTTTTTTTTAGAAACGAAAAAATGTATGCGTAGCAAATCTTTTTAGCAGACTTCCTGTTTAAACAGCACCATCTCTATATAGTAGGTCTTAAGGCTGCACTGAAAAAGATACATAACTTGGCCGTGGTAACCGCAGCAAAGCTTACCACAGTCAGCACAGCCCGTTTGATGCCAGCAGCTTTAGCAAGGAGAGCAGCTTGTCACTTCCATGGAAAACCTCATCTGCTAAGCCAGGGGCAGCACAAAGCCAGAGCATAAAGCCTTTGGCATGGTCCTCTGCAGTATGGGGATTTGATGGGTGGACTGCTCGACGGATGAGGAAACGATTGTGAGATCGGACCCAGAGTGGTGGTCAGTGGCTCACTGTCCAGACAAGACAGGTTACAAGTGGTTACATCAGGGACCGGTGCTCTTCAACATCTTCATTAATGACAAAAGCAGCGGGGCCGGCAGTGGGTGGGAGGTGGTCCTGTCTCTCTGCTCTGCTTTGGTGACACCGTGCCCAGATGTGAACTCGTCGACACAGAAGAGACACAGATCTGTGTCACTGACTTACAGCCGAGCCCCGTCGTACGCCGCAGCGTCGCTTGCCGCCGCCGCGCAGCCCGAACCCCGTGTCTCCACATCCGACAGCGCCCCCTAGCGGTCGAGACCCGGCGTTGCGCGAAGGAGGCGGTGTCACCCGGCTCTCTCGGGGTCGCGCACGCGCCGCGACGGCGAGGGGGCGGGACCGCGGCCTTGCGCGAGGGCGACGGCGGAAGCGGCGCCGCGGGAGGGGGTCTGTCGCCATGGCGACCGCAGCGGAGGGGCTGCCCGAGGCCGGCGCGCAGCCCGCCAAGCGTAAGGGACCGGGGGGCCGGGGCCGAGTTTGCTCCTTGGCCGCGCGGCTGCTGGCAGGCTGTCAGGCCGCGGCCCGCGCCCGGCCTAGGGCGGGGCAGGCAGGTTGGGCTGGGGGCTGGCTGCAGGCGGGGACGTCCGTCCGTCTGCCTGCCTGCTGGCTGGAGACGAGATTGCAGTCCCCTCTGGAAACCGAGAGCCTTTGCCTTCAGGCCGGAGGCAAAGCAGAACGGAGTCGTGAGCTGCGCTGGTTCTGCGAGAAGCAGCACGAGGGCCGGTTGTGGCGAGCGGGTTTCTGTGAGGGATGCAGCGGTTATCGCTCTTTGTGGCTGTAAATCTGTGGCTCCTTGTGAAGCTGGCCTGGGGGCGGCTCTCGTGTTTTAAGTCAGTGACCAGAAATAAAGATCAGCAGCACTGCGTGCAGAGTCCTTGGAAGCCAGTCCCACGAAGGCCTACCCCCAGGCCCTTTAGGGGCTGAGCTGTGTAACAGCAGTCAGGACGGGTGTCTGCCCCTTACACGCCTCCTGGAGTGCTATAAAGTAGCCTTGACGCTCCTTTAAGAAAACAGCCACGGTTTGTTATCCTTTAGTGTAAAGGAGACGTTTTGTGTAGAAGGTAGTTCAGTATAAAAAAGTAGCCCCCAACAATGGGTCTGTTTACTTCTCATGGTCTGTGTCTGTACCTGCTGACTTTCCCTGATCCTGTGATGTCTGTACCCTGATCAGAGGATCCCGCTGTGGAAACAGCAGAGGAAGCTAAGGAACCAGCAGAAGCGGACATCAATGAGCTCTGTAAAGATATGTTCAGCAAAATGGCCACTTACTTAACGGGTGAACTGACAGGTAAGGCATTGCAATGCTGACTTGCAAGTAAATTTATGTTTCTTTTCATTTTCTCTTAAGAAACTCTGTTGTGTTGTTTGTATATAAACTGTATGTTATAATATCTGGCAAAACTGGCAGTTCAAGACTTATATGTTGCTAGACTGCTAACAATGCTGACATTAGTAAATTGATGACTTAATGAAGTCCCAGATTAGTACAGATATTTTTTCAATTATTCAATTTATCAGAGACCAGAATGAGTTATTTTTCTGTTCTGCAGAAGCTTGTGCATATTATGGGGAAGTGTAGGTGAAGAAGGACAGGAAGAGAAGCAGAACTGAGAGTGGAACATATGTAGCTATTTCACATCTGAGTGAGAGCACGGCTCATACATACGTTTTCCAGCATTCATGCTTTAGAATAAACTGTGAAAAGTAAACTGAAATGTTAGTTTCTGGAGATTGATACTGCCTTAAATCATTGCACTGTGGGAACTTTTTAAAGCTTTTTAAGTTGTTTATCAGTTAAAATCATAACATTTGGTAACTGTTCTGTTTATCCTAGGTGCTTCATATGCTCATTTTTAAAGGTCGCAGTGTTGTATGACTCCTTTGGTTCTGTATCAGGCAATGACAGTAATTTAGGTTGAAAGGTACCCCCGCAGATCATCTAAGTTCCTGCTAAAAGCAAGAAAGACTTAGCAGTTAGATCACTGATGCAAATACCTGTTGAGCTACTACTTAAGGCTGCTGATATCTGTAATACTATTATCCTTCCAAATTACTGTGCGTGTGTAGAAGATCTGTTATCCCTGTAATATGAATAGGGAACCAGAAACCTTGTAATTTGTCTTCTGAATATCACTGTATTCTGTCTTGAGATCCTGGATCAAAGTGACTTTGCTGTGATAGGCAAGGATGTCTGTGAGACTGAGAAAGTACTGGGATTGCCCAAAGCTCAATCTACATACAAATACAGCGTTATACTAATACCTCTGCTGCCATCTAAACTATTCCTACTGTATTTGGCTGTTGCTTTGAAATCTCTTCTAGAAAAGTCTGTACCCAGTTCAAACTGCACCAGCATTTAATTAAAATAAACTCTATTGTTTTTAAGCCACCAGTGAAGACTACAAGCTCTTGGAAAACATGAACAAGTTGACGAGCTTGAAGTACCTCGAAATGAAAGATATTGCTATAAACATCAGTAGAAATCTGAAGGATTTAAATCAAAAATGTAAGTAAACCAGATAAGGGAGGAGAATAATTAACTGTGCTCTTGTATGGGAGCTGGAGTATCTAAGATGTTGATAGTTTATCTTCCAGTGGTTCTGAAGGAAAAAAAACTCATTAAGAGCTGTATAGTGTTAGAAAATGCCAATCTTCTGTACTTCATTACAGCTATAGACTACGTAGACTAAACTAAGAGAACTTACATACTGTGTTACCCCCAGATTTTGAAATAATAAGGACTAAATAACACTACTTTTGATACAATTGTATTGTTATTTGTGTTGAGTCTAACAGTGCTCTTAAAGATTTCGTTTTATGCTGGAATACGTCTGTCAGTACCACTACCTGATTTTGGAGTGGGAAAAGGAAGGAGCTTTTAAACTGTTTTATCTGAAGAACATAATGAGTGTGAACTGTTTATTGGAATTGAATTAGTAAGAACTGACATCTGTTATTTTTCTGGCCTTTAAAGATGCTGCTCTTCAGCCATATCTGGAACAAATCAACCTAATTGAGGAGCAGGTTGCAGCTCTGGAACAGGCAGCTTATAAATTGGATGCATATTCCAAAAAACTTGGTAACTATTGTCTTCTGCTCTTACTACCTAGCAGCCTAGTCCCGTGTAAGGAGATTTAAGAAAACAAAGTAAACTGCTTTGTTTAACATGTCTCAGTGACAGAGTTGCCCATGCAGCATAGTATTGATCACTTTCAAAACAATGACAGGTAGAAGTGTATGTGAAGCAGAAAATGTTGATAAAAGATTAATGTTTGAAATTATAAGGACATAGGCTCATATAGGTCTTACTGAACTGTAGCTTGTTAATGAGTCTTAATTTCTTTTGTGCAATGTGGACTGATACAAATATTCAAGACACATACTTAATCTTGCAAATTGAGGCATTTATAAAGTTCCACCAGGCACCTAAGTCCCCTTGGCTTATGTTAATGTGAATTGTCTGACCTGAGTATCTAGTTCTTAAAAATCCCATTGTTCAATTAGATTTGCCCAAGTGCTTTAGGAGAAGGTGGCCCCAAGTGATTCATCTAAATTAAATTGGATTTCAAGATGGATAGAAGAGTACAGGATTCAAATCTTTTACCTGTCCAGTCCTAAAATACTGTTATTTTTCCTTCTGCAGAAGCCAAGTACAAAAAACTGGAGAAACGATGAAACTGCAACTGTCTTTTGAAGTTGGAGTTGGGCTGTGGGTCAAACTGATCTCTGAGTTGCACAACATCGGTTTTATATGTTGACAAGGATTTGGTAATAGCTAACGTAAGACTGTTTTTTTTTTTTTAATCTATTGAATACAGTTGGCTGTATTCAGGCCTAAGGCTGAATGGTGTTTTCCTCTTCTGTAATGTTTCTGGTGCCTCAGTTCAGCAGTGGAAAATTGAAACTTGTCCCTAACCCACATCTTGATACTGGCTATCCCTCCATTAGTCCTGTGTTCAACGTGAAACATTCTACCAAGGAAAAGCCCTGCATAACCTGCAAAGACATTTTCACTTAGTAGCAGCAGGACATAAACCAATCTTTTTCTTTCATTGAGGTCTGTATTGAGAAGATTCCCTGGCCTTTGGAGTTGTGAGCATGGTATTGAAAACATTTAAGTTTGTTATGCATTTTTATCTGTTTAAAATAGAGAGACTAGTTATTATAAACTTAAAATAAAACAACTTGCTACATTTGTCTCTCTGAAATCTCACAAATTCCTGTTGGAAAGGCTATGTAAGTTTTTCATAGGGTCTGATAATAAAGACAAACACTGTACAGTTACTGGAAATTGTAGAAAAAAAAAAACATGCTTTAAACTCTTGTGTGAAGTATTCCTGCATTTATATCCTTTGACTGTCCTGACTTCTGGTGAAATTACAATCTCTTTAACATGTGCTTAGTTAACTTAGTACATCCTTTCTCTACTTTCCCAAAGACGTTTCTGTGTTTTTGATCCTATTCATTTTTGAAGAGGTATGCCCAGCAAAGAAAACTCCTCTACCAGATGAACAGTACTCCAAATGGCTAATTTGACAGAAACCTTTTTACTGAACACCCAGACAAAGTTTGGGCTTTTTTATACCTATTGACTCAAACTAGTTGAAGCTGGCTTTTGATTGGGTTCCAGTAGAGAACAGAACAATTACTGATAGAGTTCAAACTTCATACTAGCTGTTTGAAAGTATGATTTGTGAGGTGCCAATATGGTAAAGAGCACGATTCTGCCAGTTATTGTATAACCACTGTATAAATGGTTGATTGTCAAGTTTTCCTTAGTGCTATTTAAAAACTGTACAGCAAGACCTTTGAGAGCCTTCAGCATCACTTAGAAAGTCCTGGGTTTTAACATGGAAAGTGCTACTCTGCATGACTTTGATGTAGACTCTGAGAAAGGTTTTTTTTGAATGAGCATCAATATATTAACAGGGTTAAGTCTCCCAAAGATAACCATGTATCTGTGTCTATGTGGCTTTTGCTCACAGTTAGTTCACTGATGAGTTTTCTACCTATGTAATTAATTAAACATTAGTACTGTTATGAGAGCAACTTCCTCCAGCCCAACAAGAGGATGTAGTGACACACATCTAAAACCTTCGTGCCTAGAAACTGATATTTGAATGACAGTAGTTTCTTTGTGATCTTTGATGCTCAAAAGTGTAATGTATCAACAGCAATAAGACGGTGTGGCAGAGTCCTGTTTCCCCAGCATTTCATGCACCTGTGATTGTACGAGAGGTGAGCGTGTTTCAGCCAGACTCACCAGTGTTGACAGTACCATCCCTTTGCTGTTATGGAGGAGGATCACAGATCCTTGGCTGCTGATAAGAAATCTATCTTGAGGGTGCTACTCAGATCCTCTGCTCCCTGAACAAATTGGAATTTTCATTACAACATATTGCAATCACATGTGGGTGGGAACATAATTCCTGATCCCCTGCCAGTCCTCTTACCTGACCCCTATCCATCTCTAAGAACAGAAAACGCAGTGGTTCCTATCAGGTTGGGAATGGTTCTTGACATGTGGGCATCAGAATCTAGAGCTGAATAGTCATTGGGAATCTTAGCAGCATAGGCTCATCTGGGATTGAAACGAGACCATTGCTCTTCCAGCCTAGTGGTTTCTTTGATTTCCTACTCCTTCCTGGAAAGTGGTGCTGGAAGTACATAGCTAGTGCTAACATAGGGGGATTATTCTCCACTGCAGAATAGCAGCTGGCCCTGTGCTATGGCAGGATGCAAGGGCAATGTGAAATGGTGGCAGATTTGCATCCCGGTATTACAGTGTCAATCTGGCCATGTGCTGTGTAGAGCATTGTGATCTTGTCTATGTGATGAGTCAGATGTGTAGCTCTAAGTGCCAGTGACTTGTCCTATCACTAGTCAGCAAGTCAAATAAATTCTTCTTTTGTCAGATAACCTACCAATCAAATACTGGATACAGAATGGAACGTGACTCAGACAGGCTCCATACTGTAATGGCAGTATGCTGGCAATTATGTGCAAGTCAGCTCCATTATCAGATGTGTACCATGTTATCAGACCTGGTGGAGACAAACCAAGTTGGGTACAGAACTGAATACAAGTCAGCCCTGCTGTATTTAAGATGCATTGCAGTCACCATCCCATTTTCCTTAGTACATGCTGTCCATGTTACACTTGAGACACTGAAACTCGTAGTGTTCTAAGAATCCTCTGTCACTGGAATCATTATAGCAGCCTTGCTGTGTAACCTCCTGAACAGACCATGAAGAACTGCACTGCTCTCCATGCTGTTTTCTATTTATATCTTTCAATGCTTCCTACTATGGCTGCCTTAGACCCTGTTTATCTTGATGCCATGGGAAGACATGTAATGGAGAATATATTTCAGAGCTATTAGTCTTGCTTAGAAGAAAAAGAAAAAAAAAAAGACAGGCGTCATCATCTTTAATATTCGTTCAGTGCGTAAATCTCCCCCCGTGCCACAGTTTCTTCCCTAAAACATGCAATCACAGAATAGTTGAGGTTGGAAGGGATCTCAAAGCCAATTTCTCCAACCTCCTGCTCAAGCATGGTCACCTGGAATGGGTCACCTAGGACCATGCAGCATGTGATATTGCCACTGCCAGCTTTGGACATTATGGCAAGCAGATTGAAAGTTTTCCTAACAGAATTTGGTTATATATTCTGCCCTGTTTGGGCAAAGATACTGCACGTAAAGATGGACTTGCTAGCCAAGGAAGAGCACATTCTCAAGCGCACAAAGGCTAAGGTTTGTCCTTCGGTTGGCAGAAAACTGGAAATCTATGATTAGACAGATTGTCACTGCAGAACACCACTCTGGACTACACGTGTATTAGCTGTAAGCTGTAAGCGGCATCTCTCTGGTCTCCAAAGATATGTCTGAAAGCTGAGGATGCTGTCGGTGTCACAACTGAAACGGGATTAATGCCCTCTAAGAGAGCATCCATGCACCTTTTATTAGCAGGTACTCTTTCTCTCTCTTCAGGGTCAAGGCAGTCAAGGGGACAGAGTGACAGTAGTCAGATAAATACGGTCACATGTGAGTAAAATCTCATTACCTCTACACTTGCCTCACCCTGGAGAGTGCTGTCTGCATGGAGCTTCCTAGCCTTCCCCATGCCCCCTCTTTACTGTTAGAGCCCCAGCATCTCGTTTGTCTTTCTAGTGAGGCTGAAGAATAGGTTTAAATACACTTCAGTGGCAGTTGTGTTTGTGTATGTTTTTCTTAGAACTGCTGACTTAGCCACATCTTGTTTTACTCATGGATGCATTTGGTGGTTGATGTGAGATTCTCTCACCACACAGTATGAACTGACATGCTATTGGAGAGTCTGGGAATCTATATGATCAAAACATAGGAAATTTCAAAGAAAAATAATACAGCATTTCTCTGCTTCTCTTCCTTTTTGGCAGATTTGCAAGATGGCCACAAGAGGGTGATGTTTCAGCAGAGAAAACTTCCATAAGATAAAGTAGTTAAGAGAAAGGACCAGTATTCTGTTAAAACTATTGCTTTTCTCCTTGAAGAAAAAGCTGTGCTGTTTTAAAATTACAAAGGTGGGAAACTCCAGGAATTCTGAAGATGGGAAACCATCTAGCTATGTGTTGCACTTTGTGTTTTCAAGTAAAAGAGTTAAGACATAGTAAACTGCTCCACAAACTCCTGAGTATTGCACCTGCAGGAGGCAGAGACTGGAGATGCCTCACAAGCGACTGTTCACTGGGAGAAAATTTTAGAGAATGAGTACCTGAGTGATTATGTGATGGTGGCATCCCAATTATGCCAGGAGCTGGCAACTGTATTCTCATTTCTGTCTTTAAATAGCCATTCTCCTCTCTGAGGGCTCTCTGTGTGAGTAGTGGAATCCAAATCATGGCAAGTCTGGCAGGTCTTTGACAAGTTCTTGACAAGTTGAACTGCAACTGCAAACTGGGGATAAAACTTATCCTAGCAAATGCAGCAAATATGGCAGAAGTTATCCAATATTGGCCTCTAGCTAAATATGTTATGTGTGCAGTGTTGCACCTGATGGCAAGCATACAAGAAAAAAAAAAGCAATATGTAGAGAACAAACATTCTGTGAATGTATGATGAGTTTTGTTAATGAGAGATTTGTTAATGATTAATGTTTGTCCCTGCTTTCTGGTTTACAGTAGAGTGAAGTGGAACCTTTACAGAGGTTAAGGTTCAAAAAAATCAAAAAAATAAAAAAATAAAGCAGTTCATCCAAGTTTGTCAGCAGCTATTGGTTTTATCTAACCAGTTATGCTTAATCCAGAGGAGGCAGGAGCTATTGATTGCCTTTGCACTGTTATTTATTTATTTATTTATTTATTTTATTGATTAAACCATAGCATACACAAAGGGAGATTTCCAGGATGCAGCATCAAGCCCTCCTTTGATTCAGCATTCCTGTTTCCTGTTGTAATGGAACCCCTGGGATTCACAACTATTTTCTTACTGTTTGCATTGTTTGTCTCCTTGTCTCTTCAGCCTACATGGAGGAAGATGTCTGAAATAGGGAAGTTGCCTCCTGAACCATTTGCTTTGCCCTTCATAAGAAATATACTAACCAGACCTGAAGAATGACTTGCCTTAATCTTCAGAAGATGTCAAGGGAGTTTGCACGATTTGATGGTGCACATTAAGCAGAACCTGGTCCAGTGATTAAAAAACTTGGGACTGTATTGTAGTTGTAATAATAAGGGTGTATTTTTTAAGATAAATTATATTTGTCCAGAGACTGATCCGTTGGTGATGGCAATGCACTCCCTCTCTATTGGGTATCTCATCCACAGGTAATCCAGAAGAGCCCTTCTCAGGCATGTTTTGAGCCAGTGCTGAGTTTCTAAAGTATGTTTTGGAAAAACAAAAAAAGATACTGTGAGCTACATGGTACCTTTTTTACTGTGATGATTTCCATCTAAACTTTTTAATTCACTAGTCCCATGCATTTTCCTCTGAGAGTTATTATGGCTGGGTAGGTTTGTTTTTCTTTTGGTGATGATGTTATTTGTACTAACAAAAGCTTTAAGAAAACCTAGAATAGTGGAGCAGGATAGGCAGTAACCAGAGGTAGTAAGTAACCTTACTTCAGCTCTTTAGCTGAACCTGTGCCTGTGTCCTAACCAATTTGTTTATGCCTGTGTGTAGCTAAAAGATCAACTTGTGGAATGACTGTGACAGCTTTGCCCACCCATTCCTAGGCATGTGTCCCCAAGATACAGAGCAGTCTCACACACTGCTTATATAAAGGATTACAGTTGAAGAAACAAGAGTATTGACAGAGCAAAAAACGTCACCATTCTTTCTTGCTTTGACTCAATACAGTTGACAAAATAGAAATGATGGAATGAAAATTAGTCCATGACTGTGAGGTTGGTACATGAATAATCACTTGAATAAGTAGTTCATAAGGACTGCAAAGAAAAATGATTATGGACCAGTTCACCAACTGACAATATAAAATCAAAGAAAGACCCCGTTCAGATGATTGAAACCAAGCGCATGACACAAATTCTGTCATACAGGAGGTTAAGCAATGAAGATCAATATGAATGTATGTGCTTAATTAATGGGAGGTGGAGATGTTGATATCACATCCAAGAAACAAAGCAATGGATACCAAATCTGGTGCAAGCCATTTGCTGATAGTTGCTGATTTTGGTCACATAAAATCAAAGAATGGCCAGGATTGGAAAGGACCTCAAGGATCATCAAGCTCCAACCCCCCTACCAGATGCAGAGCCACCAACCTCTCCATTTAATAGTAGACCAGGCTGCCCAGGGCCCCATACAACCTGGCCTTGAACACCTCTAGGGATGGGGCATCCACAACATCCCTGGGCAGCCTGTTCCAGAATCTCACCACTCTCATAGTAAAGAACTTTCCCCTGACATCCAACCTAAATCTTCCCTCACTCAATATAAAACCATTCCCCCTTGTCCTGCAGTTATCTTCCCTTTCAAAGAGTTGAGGTCCTAACATGCAGAGCTTTTATTAAGGTTATAATAACCTGAACTTTGAGATGACAAGGATAGGGAATTTAAGAAAGCTGTCTCATGCAAAGTTATTTGATAGTTCAGTTACACAATGTGGTGTAAGCCTCCACCCTCTAATGCAGGGTCTGAGCTGTGCTATAAGCCTTAATGTTTGTTATTCTCAAGAATCTGAGTATGCACTGTCACAAATCTGTATGACAGCAGAGAATTTCTAGATCCAGATCAATTCATGCCAGAGCATTTCTTGGATAGAAATGGTGATTTTAAGGCAAGTGAGTTGTTTCTGTCTTTTTCTGCAAGGAGTTAAACTGTGTTTCTTTCAGATCCCAGACTCTTCTTTGGCTTTGCCTTGACTTGGATCGCCTGAGAAACTTTAAATTGTCTACAGCAGTGGAATGCAGTGCCCAGGGAGATGACTGAGTCACCATCCTTGGAGGTGTTTGAGAAATGTTAAGGTGTTGTTCTGATGGACATTGTTGGTGGATGAAAAACTTAACATGAGCCAGCACTGTGCTCTTGCAGCTCAGAAAGCAAATGGTATCCTGGGGTCCATCAGAAGAGAGGTAGCCAGCAGGGAGAGGGAGGTGATTGTCCCTCTCTACTCTGCCCTTGTGAGACCCCATCTGGAGTACTGTGTCCAGGTCTAGTGTCCCCAATAAAAGAAAAACAGGGAACTGTTAGAGAGGGTCCAGAGGATGGCCACAAAGATGATGAGAGGGCTGAAGCACCTCCCTTACGAAGATAGGCTGAGGGAGCTGGGTTTATTCAGCCTGGAGAGAAGAAGGCTGCGGGGTGACCTCATTGCAGACTTCCAGTACCTTAAAGGGAGCCTACAAAGAGGAGGGGAGTTAACTCGTTACAAGGGTAGATCATGGCAGGACAAGGGGAAATGGTTTTAAGTAGAAGGAAGGAAGACTAATTTGGACATCAGCGGGAAGTTCTTTACCAAGAGAGTGGTGAGGTGCCGAAACAGGCTGCCTAGAGTGGATGCCCTGTCCCTGGAGGTTTTCAAAGCCCAGGTGGGGCCCTGGACAGCATGGTCTAGTATTAGATATGGGGGTTGGTGGCCCTGCATGTGGCAGGAGAATTGGAGCTTGATGATCCTTGAAGTCCCTTCCAATCCAAGCCTTTCTATGATTCTATGACTGTTTAGTGAGGAAATATTGGTTGGACTGGATGATCTTGGAGGTCTTTTTCAACCTTGGTGCTCCTTCTTGATTGAAATGTTGTTACGCTACCTCTCTGTTCCAGACACATTTGGGTCTTTCCTTTGGGCATTATCCTTAGCCACAGTTTAGCCTGAAGCAACCAGATCATAATCCTAGCAGATACTCACATATCTTCATTTTTGTGTCTGTATTGTATGGATGAGAAACAATGAAGTTGAGAAACTAGGTCTGCGCAATCTGAAAATCCTGCATGGTTTGATTTTTCTGTAGAGCTTTAACATGACATTGTGGTGACATTACAAGTACTATATTGTTCCACATAGCAAAGATTCAGCTCTGTTTTCACTGCAATCACAGTAAGCTATATGTTGCAGGGAATGTGATCAGTTTGGGAAATGCCAGACCTGAATCCATAGATCTGTCTTTGTCAGTTCATATGCATCTTCTAAGTGATGTTTTAAAAATTAATTTAGTGATCTGCACATACTTCATAAAAGTAATGAGAAGAAGCCAGATGCCATTCAGCTTGTAAATGGCATAATGGAGATCCCAGTATTATTTCACTCTCTTTTATCACAGTGAAAAGTGCTGTAATTGCAGATTTTGCTCTGGTAGGACTAATAAGGTCAGTCCAGTCTTCTTCCACATTGTTTCTGAGAATGGAAGTTTTCTAGATCATGTCTTAAAGCCATAGTGCATTTCATATAAACAAGTGAAATAAAACAGTCAGATATGTACCTATTTTGGACAGTATTTGTGTATCTAAGCTTTGTGGAGAAGGGTTTTCCACTGGAACATGTCTTTCAGGAATGTAAAAAAACAATTTGGTGCACTACTTCTCATTAGATTTGCAGTATAGATTTTATTTTTACAGACCTTCACTATAATTACAGAAGAGAGGATCCATTTGCTCAGCCATCATATTAACTTGTTCCACACTATGGGTAAATGATATGTACTAGGACAAGAATACAGTAGATGGTCGTGTTCTGACAGAATGAAATGGTTCCATGTTGCTTTATGATTTCCTTTACAAACAGATCACAAGCAACAGATCACTGAAAACACAGAGAGATGTGCCTGAAACAGTCTGTGGGGCAAGCATCTTTTCCTTCTGTGCTGAGAGGTTTAGGTGATGGGAACAGCAGCAGCAGCAGCAGCAAAAGGGTTCTTAGAGCCTGCACACCCTGACACATCAGGAACTAGACAGGAACTTGAGCTGGTAATGTAAGTGCAAAGGAGAGCCTCTATCAATCTCCCTAAGAACTGTCACCTTCCCTACACAGTCACCCACTATGATTCTGTTTAGAGCTGGCTGTACTGATTATAAGAACAGCATGCAATTACTTTTCTTTAAAAGCATAACTTTTCTGTCCCTGAAGAAACTAGCGAATTATCTGAGTGTTTCATCAGGATGGGCAATGACTGTCGTTCAAGAAGACTGTCATTCTAATTTGAGAGGTGCCAGCTGTCTTCACTTGTCTAACGTGGAATAAATGACACTTCATAAGGTCGGGAAGCTTTTCCTGCAGAGGAGACTATGGGAGAAATGTCAACATCCTTGTGATCTACAACGGGCTTCAGAGTAAAGTTCTGCAGGATGGATGTTAAAAATAAGAATATCTCCATCCGGGCCAGACCTTCTCCTGCACAGATGCGTTTTCCTGCAAGGAAAGAATGAGGAGAACAGGAGATGATGGTAGAGTACTTTTGCTGGTAACTTATTTTAACCCCTCTGCTGAGAGAGTTCCAACGTCTCACAGTGGGCATGCAGCACTGCATCCTTCTGGTGGAGGGAATTGAATTAAACTGAGGTCTCAGTGTTCAGAACAGTGTGAGAGTACTGGGTGGGCCAATGCAATTTGAAGGTTTCAGTTTCTTGTGTTCTGTTGCTGCTTTATGGCTAGCTAGGAGAGAGAAGTGGCATGGCTACAAGTCCCGCTTCATGCATCTTTTCTTGGAGGATGCATGAGAGGAGCTCTGGTACTTGTTAAGAAAAGGAGGTAAACTGAAATGGTAGTATATGGGGTAGAGCTTAGCTGCCCAGAAGTGACCATCAGATCTGCAGACATCACTGTTCAGACAGGGATGACAGAGCCACTGAAATGTCTGCAGAGGTTCTGGGAGAGGATAGTCTAGGTCCTGACATAGAAAGAGCTCTTTACCTGTGGAAAATGGCAAGAAGTAGTCACTCTTTCTGAAGGTACCATTTGCATTCAGGAAGTGTTCCGGGTCAAATTTTTCTGGATTAGGAAATTCCTTGGAGTCGTGCAGGATGGGA